CACGACTATATTTATTGCTGTAAACATATTGTGTACAATATTTCGAAAATAATACGATAATATGAACAAAAATAGAAATGCGTCGCCACGTCGCCGCTTAGCCGTCGGTCCGAGCGCTATAATAATAATAATATGGTCTTCCATTTTACTAATAATTTATATTTATAATATGCTGAACGTTCACGTAATAATTCTGTGGTAGGCGAACTCGATTCGATATAAATATTATCTACTATAATATTACTGTTATTATTTGTTATACACATTTTTCAATGAATAATAATTCTTCCTAAGAATTAAAATACATTAGAAAAATTCAAAACTTTCGTTTTCACTGTTAAGAATTTGCCGCCCCTAAAAAATTGCCGCCCGGGGCAACTGCCCCCTTTGCCCCCCCTTAACCCGGCACTGGGTTAGGTATATTACTATATTAGTAGGTAGGTATGATATAATAAATTGATAGGTCAAAAGGTTGCCAACCCCTGGGTTAGACCATCTATGGATAATAACATATTATTTTATAAAAAAGTTTGCACATACCTACTGTAATAAAATATCCCAACAAAAACAATCCACCAAACTCCGTAAATAATTATTAGGGCTTAAAAGGTTAGGTTTAGGACTTCAACACCGTTTGGGGCAGTAAAACTGCTTCGATTTTTTTCAACAGTATATTGTTCGATGGGAAAGTAAACCTAGTTGGGGTTTCGGGAGGTCAAAATTGAAATTCCCAATAGTTTGCAAAAGCGCTGGGAAAAAAATATAAAAATTAAGAAAAAACGGAAATTTTTACGCAAAATCGATTTTGGTTTTTGGTGAAACTCTAAAACAAATGACCGTATAGATACATGGAATTTTAAATTTTGACCTCCACGATGCAACAACATTCGCTTTCTCATTGGACAAGATACTTAAGTTGAAAATTGAAGCATTATTTCGACTACTTATCGACTATCGTGTACACAGACATAAAAAAAATATATAAAAAAAACAAACACATCATTGTAAAACCTATACATTCTTCGCTCCGCTCAAAATTTAAAATTGCGGGACAACAGCTAAGGTATATTAAAATCCAAAATATATAACCTACCTTTTACCATTGAATATAAATACTATAGATCGCTCACAGGCCCGTATTTACGAGGCGCGAAAAATTGACGAAAAATGAATGTGGCCGTTATGAAGCAGTTTAGCAGTGTCTTACGTAAATATGGGCCAGGGAGCGATCTATATTATTTATAATCAATGATATTACCTACTTATACAGTTATAGTAACATTATATTAGGTATATACCTATAATCAGTCTTGTAAAGAATACTTTTATTTTGTATTCGGAATACATATTCGAATAAATGAGAATTAAGGTATTCAGAATACGTATTCGAATAGTTCTTAAAAAATATATTCAGAATACATATTTGAATACTATTAGAATACTTTTTTTCACAACTAGTTTTTGCAAGTTTTTGAATGGTTGGTAATTAACATTTATTAATTAATAATTAAAAACTATTAATAGACAACAGTATACAGCTGCTGCAGATAGTACAGTGTTGTATACAATATGCGTGGTATAATCTCAGGTTGTTTGCGCGGACTCGTTTCCATGTTTTTCAAATGGTTGTACCACCTAAATAAATATAACTTCGATTACAGGTAGACCGGAATATACTCAGCAGCTGATCGAGTGTCTGTTTTGTTCTATGATCCTATTGGCATTATTTACCATAGAGATTTTTCCTATGCTACAATAATGGTCACATGTTAACCGCCGTATAACCACAAAACAATAACCACTCTTTTCATTTTTTGGACAAGAGTTTATCACTCAACGATAGAAAGTGATAACACAGAATATTCTAGGGCATGGCTTAAGATAGACTATCTTAAGTCATGTTCTAGGGTGATATTATCATTAAGCCGTAGATTGCATAAGAAGTATGATCAACTCGAACAATGTTTTCGTCCTATTTCGAGCATGTATCGCCTTTTGCTTTTGTGCATACTGCATTGCATACCCGAGTAGCAATTTGGTGGTTCGTGGTCAGTTCAGGAGACCATTTGGTGCTTGTTAAGTGCAAAGTTCAATTTATGATCTATTTTGGTTCAATATACGATCAATTGTTCAAGTAGCCATATATCTATTAAAAATGTTTGGTCCTTAGTGGGTTCAGAGTTTCGGACAATTATAATAGGTGCAGGAACGGTTCTATATTCAATTGATGAACTCTCACAGTTCGATTAACGTTCATAAGTTCAAATACCGACCGCTAATTTATTTTGATACTTAAAAATGTAATGTTCTCGATTGGTTCAACCGTTCGTCTTCTTACGACAGTAGAAAGTGCGCCGAGGAAAGTCAAAATAAGAGCGTTCGTAAAATTTTGTTATTTTCTAAATGATAAGACGATACTATTTGGGATAGTATTCTTTATATTTTAAAATAAAACTTTGAAAATTCAAGTTTAAATTTTCAATTCGTTTGTAAAATATTATATATGTAGTAAATAGTAATAGATATTATACTCTGATTATATAAATATTGAAAATTATTCCCGAGATATTTCAACGCCCGATTCTCGTAACAAGCTCCACCCACTTATACACTCTACGGTTATAATTATGGTAAATCTAAGTTAACATCATCAACATATGACCGAAAGAGTTCAGTTGTTTCCAGCAAAGATAAAGGAAAAGAGAAGGTTTCCAGACGTACCTATACTTATTATTTACTAACCGTGTACTACGCTCGTTTATATATGCTGGTGTTGCAACCACAATAATTTAAGTATTATTAATTTACATATTTATATTTTAAAATACAAGTTTGATTAATGGATATAATATAATGCAATGGAGTAGTACAACTGTATAATATATAGTGGGTATACACTATAATGTACAACGCGGCAGCAGTGTACTTGATTATATTATTTCTCAAATTAATAATATTGCATAAAAATAAATTCTATAAAATGGTTGTAGGTACATTGGTATACCTACTTATACAAATTACATACCATAATTATATAAGTAGGTAATTACTATAGCTATATAGTTTACTCTGAAATAAATTTTCCGAACACATTATATTGTATATTTGTATTACACATGACATAGGTAACATATATTTATAACCTAATTCAATTTTATTAAATATCCCTTGAACAATATTTTCGTTTATAATATTAGAACTGTCTGGAGAGTCCGATTGTCAAAATTTTTTTTTTATTGTGTTGGTATACATGCCCCTAAAGTATGATAACATTTTCAGCAATAATCACTGTTGACTTTGTCTGTGGTAGTCGCTAAGGTACGACGTGTGTTTATGAGCTCGGCGATTTTTGCTTGTTTAAACAATGGAAGAATTGAAGAGTCAAAGAATTTGCATTAAATTTTGCGTAAAAAATGAAATAAAATGTAACAAAGTATGTGAAATGTTACAAAAAGCCTATGGTGAGTCTGCTATGAAAAAAACAAGTGTTTACGAGTGGTATAAGCGTTTCCAAGATGGCCGCGAAAAAAGCACGTCAAGTTCGATCAAATGTCAAGGTTATGCTTACGGTTTTCTTCGATTTTAATGGCATAGTACATCAAGAGTTCTTACCACAAGGTCGTACGGTTAATAAGGAGTATTACCTTGAAGTTATGCGACGTTTGCGTGAAGCAATCCGAAAAAAACGCCCCGGTTTATGGAAAAACAATTCATGGCTTTTGCACCACGATAACGCACCTGCTCATTCGTCGTTGCTTGTTCGTAATTTTTTGGCCAAAAACAATACCGTAGTCATGCCCCAACCTCCATATTCACCAGATATGGCTCCGTGTGATTTTTTCCTGTTCCCAAAGTTGAAAAGACCCATGAAAGGACGGCGTTTTTCCTCGATTGAAGAAATAAAAGCCGAATCGCTGAGAGTGCTCAAGGACATGCCAAAAAGTGAATATCAAGAGTGCTTCGAAGATTGGAAAAAACGCTGGCATAAGTGTATTATATCTGGGGGGGACTATTTTGAAGGGGACCACATTGATGTAGACGAATAAATAAATATTTTTTTGAAAAAACGGAAATTCCGGGTACTTTTTGAACACACCTCGTATATATGAGTAAATTGCATTCAATACTATGTTTATTTTATTTTTTAAAGTTCCCATATACCAACAATGTACTTGTTGAATTCTATATATAGAGGATAAAAAGGCATATTGAAACATCTAATTTTCAATATATTTTGTTTTAAATGTCTTATTAAATTGGGTCTGTATTAGGATAGTCTACATGGAAATTATTATTAGTTACCTACCTACATAACATGATGAGACGCTGAACGCAAAGGTTGCCTAATCATATCCACCACCATCATAATGAATTACAAATTAATTTAAAATTAATCAAAATTAGGTAATTAAATTATATTCAACTAAATGAAATAAAACATAGCCTATATGTAGCCTATCATATTATAGGCTATGTTTTATTTCATTTATAGTACTATAGGTATTTTATATTGCTTATTTGTATATATTATGTATATATTATTTTATTATATTATTATACTCAAGTTATATCTAGGTAGTTTTTAATTAAATTTCATAATAAATATTCATTTTTTATTTATTAAGATGGTTATATTGACACTTGTAAGGTTATTATATATACACACTACTATACATATAGGTAGGTACTTAGTAAATTTATAAATTACTATAATTAATATATAGTTTAATAGTTATATAAATATATATTAAAATGTATATAATTAGTTTAAATAATATTTTCTATTATATTTTTTGAAAATATATTACATTTTGCAATAGATAAAACTTAAATATACCTATAAGTAATTATATTATAAAAGAAAGTCCTATTAGTAACACTTTTAGAAATTTGTATAGATTTTTAGGTCCACATATTAGTATTTATAGCATTTATATATTAGCATATTAGTATACATTATATAAGTATACATTATCTCAGTATTATTTACAGTTTCAGTAATGAGCTCCTCTAAGAAGTTAATGATGAGTAAATCAACTCGCTACCGACAGAGAGTAAAAGCCGTACGTTTAGCATCCTTGATGCTAATCAATGATCCACAAGATGATTCATTTATAATTCATCAAATTTATCCTAAAAGACAGTTATTTGAGAATTTTGAAAATGATTCTGTTCAAATTAATAATGTCAATAAAATAAATAATGCCAACTATACTTCAAAAGAGTCATCCATTACTATGTCATCTGATAGTTATTCTTCTGAGTCAGATGCAATTGAAATTCCTCAATTTGAAGATTTACCTAATGCAAAGATAGAATTAGCTAAATGGGCTTTACGTCACAAAATAACTCATGTTGCTTTAGGAGATTTACTTTACATTCTTCAAACTAACCCTGATTTATCAGATATTCCAAAAGATCCTCGAACTCTGTTGAAAACTCCATCAACCAGTAGTATAAAAAAAATAGGTGGTGGTACCTATCATCCTTTCGGATCATCATTAAAGAATGAAATAGAACTAATGCTTGAGACTATTCAATCTATTCCATCCAAATTATGTCTGGTGTTGGGAATTGATGGTCTTGCAATAACAAATAATCCAATAACTCATTTATGGCCTATTTTAGGCTACTTTTCAAATTTATCTTTAAAGCATAAAGAGGTTTTTATTATTGGTGCATACATTGGCCTAGGTAAACCTACCAATAGTAATGAATTCTTGGAAGAATTTGTGAATGAACTTAAATGTCTGATTAATATGGGGATTTCATTCAATGATATGATTATCACTATTGAGTTGAGTGCCTTAATATGTGACGCGCCCGCAAAATCGTTTGTACTTAATGTGCGTGGACACGTTTTAAACGGGTGTGTACGATGTACAACTACTGGCAGAAGGGTTGACAATAGAGTATGTTTTGTAAATATGAATGCACCGCTTAGATCCCACTCCAATTTCATAAGTCATGATGCTAAGAATAATTTCCATGTTGGACCAACATTATTAATAGATATACCAAATTTTGACATAGTTTTATCGACTCCATTTGATTATTGCATCTAGGGTGCATTGGAGTTACAAAAAAATTGATTTCATTTTGGGTGTCCAGTGGTGTTAAAAATTAATAGAAGACATTTAGTATTATTCAATGGATATTGGATGTAGAATACCTCCTTATAATTTATAACACTAAGACTGTACCCCAAATATTATATTTAACTATAATAGTCAATAGACATATATTATGTGATTTGTATTATGTTTTAGATACATTTATACATAACAATATAACAAACAACTTCAATACAGAAAATGAGCTGCAGATAAGTAATAACGAATGTGTTCAAGGTAACTATGTACATAGTTCAAAATTATATTCTACTGTAGAGGCTTATAAAATATAAATAATGGTGTCAGGATCAAATACCAAAACAATATTAACGATTTGATAGCACAATATTTAATGAACAATTTATAAAACAATATTAGTGAAACAATTAATGAACAATTCAACAAAACAATATCAATTAGTACAAAATAATTAATCATTAAAACAATATTAATCAAGAACAATAAAATGTGAATACTAAACGCGACGGAGCGGCGGACCCAATGTTGTCGCGTCACGTCTGTGCGTAGAACTAAACTATTAACTACGAAAAATAATAATAATAATAATAATAATACCTACTGATAATAATGATAAGCACGGTATCGTGTGGCGGCAGCTACACAATATTACATTGAGTATTACACTAATGATTATTATTACTACAACTCGGCCATACCTGACATTAAGTGGACCCCACTTGACAATTTATTAATACAATATATAGAGAGAAAAAAAATAAAAAATAAAATAAAATATGATAATATACAAATTTGACAAATGATAATAATAAATTATAGTATAGTAAAATCATACATAGTGCACAGTAAAATAATCCTTACCTATAAATATAATAATAATTAATATCAACATAAAATGAATTGTAAAAATTTCTTATACAAAATATTAAATTATTTAGTGAGTACAAAAAAAAAATTATATTTGTGCTGTTATTATAATCAATTAATATTCATATTACATTATTTTTTTAATCCAATGTTTAGTATATTTGCTTTCAAAAACTGAATTAAATGGTATTTGGGTTACTTGAAATCCTTCAATGTCTTTTTCTACATATCTATCATTTGGCAAAACTACTTTTATTTCATAGGGACCCTTAAACTTTGGTATATGTTTTTTATTTACTCCTGGTGTTGTGTCAATATTCTTAACCATTACATAATCTCCTTCAATATATTTCTTTGCGACACAACGCTTGTTGTCTACATACTTTTTATTTATTATTTGAGCATGTTTATTATTTTCATATTCAATTCGTCTCACTTCATCAAAATTTCTATCACTAGGTACCTTCATCTACAAAATTCTCAGTCTCCAGTACTTTGCGCAAATATTCATTAGTTTCTCCATGCTGGTTAATTCCAAATAACAACATACTTGGGGTGTTCTTTATTGACCTATTGTGTGTATTATTTATTGCAAGTTGGACCTGTTGCAGAGACTCATTCCAGTTTTTACCTTTTTCATGCATCGATTTGGATATCATATCCTTAATAGTTCTATTGTATCTCTCAACTTGGCCATTAGCCTGAGGAGACCCTACAGCTATTAGCACATGTTGAATGCAATGTGTTTTACAAAAGTTTTCAAAATATTCAGATGTAAAGCTTGTTCCTCGCTCAGAGATTATCCTAATCGGTTTGCTATAATAAGAAAAATATTCAAGTAGATTTGTGCATGTTTCAATAGATTTAACTGATCTGACTGGGTACAATGTAAGAAATTTACTGAAAGCATCGACAATTAGAAATATGTGACGGTAATTTCCTTTTGTAGGGTTTAGAGGACCATAATGGTCTATATGTATTGTGTGGAATGGTACTTTATTCTTATCTACTAATTTCAGCAAACCTTCAGACTTTCCAGTTTTTGGATGAAAACACTATACACTTTAGACAATTATCAATATAAAGTTTGACGAGTTCAGACATATTTGGAAACCAATAAACTCGCTTAATAAATTCAACAGTACGATTTATGTCAATGTGCCCCATATCATCGTGGTATGACCTAATTACATAGTTACACATTTCGGACGGTACATAAAATAATAACCGACCTTTACATTTTCTATAAACAAGTCCATTACGAAGTTCAAATTGTTTATGTTCAGAGTTTTCTAGTAATTTAATAATTTCTTTAATCTTATGATCACTACTTTGTTTAATAGAAAGTGTCTGTACTTTTGTACAGCCTTCAAGAATTAATATATGGTTTCTACTCAAAGCATCAACATGTTGCATTTGCGTTCCAGACCTATGTTCGATTTGGTAGTCATATTCTTGTAAGAATAACGCCCATCTAGCTATCCTTGGGTTTATGTCTTTCTTAGCAAGGATCATGGCTACACTATTGCAATCAGTAACAATTTTAAATTTGATTCCTTGTAGGTAGACACGAAACCTTTTAATAGAATTAATTATTGCCAACATTTCCAATTCATAACTGTGATAGCGAGACTGTACACTAGTTGTACGCTGGCTAAAGTAAAAGAAAGGATGAAATTTATTATCATGTTGTTTCTGAAGAAGTATTGATCCAAACCTTAAGCTTCTAACTTATCTTCTCCAAAGCAGAACACTGCATCTTTCTTCAAACGGTCATATAACGGTTTTGCAATAATTGAAAAATTAGGAATAAATCTGGGAAAATATGATGCTAGTCCTATAAAGCTATGGAGTACTTTTTGGTTGCATGAAATTGGATAGTTTAATATTACAGATATGTTCCTGGGATTCGGACGTACACCAGAAGAATTAACCAGATACCCAAGATAAATTATCTCTTTTTTAGAAACTGACTTTTGTCAAATCTTATCTGTAATCTATGCAACTTCATGAGGGATAGAGCTTCAGATAATATTCCTAAATGAGTTTCTATTGTGTAAGTTGCAATAACTATATCATCAAAATATACAACAATTTTTTGAGTTTTAATCAATTCAGAAAAAATATTGTTTACATAACGTTGAAACTTACTAGGACCATTACATAACCCAAATGGCATTTTACAATATTCATATTGCCCTAACAGGGTAGTAAATGAAGTGTACTTCCTAGAACTTTCTTCCACATTTATATGATGGAAGCCATCCTCAAGGTCAATGCAAGTAAAATAATGCTTGTTTCGCAGTGTGTCTAAATGATCATCAATAAGTGGCAGGGGATATCTATCCCTTACCGTTATCTTGTTAAGTTCTTGGTAGTCAATACACAAACTCAGTTCACCATTTTTTTTTTTAACCAGCACTATTGGGCTTCTAAATTCTGAACTACTGGGCCTAAAAATTTTCTTTTCCAATAAATTATCAAGAATATCCTGTAGTTTATTTTTTTCGAAATAAGATAAACGTCTAGGTTTAAAATAAAAAAACATTTGTATCCTTAAGCTCTATTTTAATTTCAGAGGAAGGTAAATCAGCAATATTTAATTCATGATTAATATCGTTGGAGCTCACATACTTTGTAGATACAATATCTTTGATTCTCGTTTGAACATCATATGGTAGTGTTACCTCAATATCTAATTCAAGTTCCTCGGGTTCATCATTAATCTCTAAATTATATATCTCGTTATATGGTACAATATCATTACGATTAATATCAATCTTAAAATCTCCATTATCAATACTAAATAAAATTCTTGGATGTGACAAAACCTAATAAACCTAATAAACAATCATAACTAATAGTGCTATCAGGTACAATATTCAATTTTACATTTATTGGGTCACTAGTATCAGGAGGATAAATGTCTGCAAAAACCTGACTCAATATGACGAGTTCAGATCCGTTAATTCCTACAATGCCAGAGTTAGCCAGAGGCATGTGAGGAACAGATTCCAAGGGACACAATTTCTCTTTGAGTAAACTCACTGGACTACCAGTATCTATCATAGCTAAGATATTTGAAACATACTTATCAGCAATTCTTATATCAACATTAATAAAATAAGCAGGTGTTACCATATCCTTGGGGTGCAGCACCATTGCAGCACTACTGGAATTATTTTGAGTCTTGACTGTTTGGAGTTTTGATTTACTTTGTGGACAGGTGGTAATCTGGTGCTCAATAGATCCAAATGTAAAACAAAAACCTGGTCGTCGTTTCGGTTTAGTGCATCCTATTGAGATGTGGTCAAACGAACCGCAGTTGAAACATCGTGTTTTCTTTATTTGAGATGACTGCTTGGAATATGCATTGGAAGTGGATGGTTTTGTTGCTGCTTCAGGTTGACCATTAATATTTTTAGTCGTTGCTTCTGGATGTAATGGACGACTAGAATTCTTGAACCTTGTGTTTCGAGAATCATTAACTTTCATGAACGTAACAATATCATTCAATAGTTCATTTTCGTGAGTATGACTTCGGCTCAATAAATACAAACATAATTCGCGACAATCTGTTGCTTAGACTCGTAAAAGTTGAGTTCAAGTTCACGACACACACGAGCCTTGTCGTGGAAATATTCTATGATTGTTTCACCTTTTCGTTGGGGGCGAGCAATTAACAATTTTGTACGCTCAACTGTTGAAGTTTGTGTACCAATAAAAGTTTCTCTGAACTGTCTTTCGAAATGCTCCCAGTCAGAAAATGTTCTTCCAAGGTACCAGTTGTGAGCAGCACCTTTAAACTTAGTTCGTATAATCTCCAATTTAAATGAATCTGGCCAATTATGAATACCAGCCGTCGAATTAATACTCTTCATCCAATTTGACGCTTCAGTGGGTGACTCAGTTCCGATGAAGTTCGACAATGTTTCATGGAAATCTGGCATTACGTAATAACCGTTCGATACATTACTTTGAACAGATGGACTTGGCGTTGTAGAACGGCGCAATAACAATTGTTCCATAAGCAATCGATTTTGTTCAATCAACGCCATCACAACAGAATTCGTATCTGAGATCATGTTCGATTGTTGGGGCAAGCTTTTGTGAACATTAGTTGCATTGTTTGTGGAATTTGATAATGGACTATGAGTATCAATGGGAGTAGTAGGTGTAACAACACTTGACGGTATAGAAAAAAAATTCACACTATTGGTTGTATTGTTGGTATTTATGTTGTTGGTGTCATTACTTCCAACGTAATCATGGTCAACAAGATTTTTTAGGTTATGGTCATCATTACCTTGTGAAACCACGTGCTTGGACATCTTGACTAGCAATAAATTGACTTGACAATAATGTCAACTTACCAATTACAATTGTGAGAATCCAGAACAATAAGATGTCTCACCAGAGACAATTGTCTTCAAATACAAAATATAGAACACGTGTTGAGAATCCGTAACAATATTCGGATACCCCGCTCGAATCCCACTTCTGAAGTTGTAGAGGCTTATAAATAATGGTGTCAGGATCAAATACCAAAACAATACTAACGATTTAATAGCACAATATTTAATGAACAATTAATAAAACAATTAATGAACAAATCAACAAAACAATATTAATTAGTACAAAATAATTAATCATTAAAACAATATTAATTAAGAACAATAAAATGTGAATACTAAACGCGACGGAGCGGCGGACCAGATGTTGTCGCGTCGCGTCTGTGAATAGAACTAAACTATTAACTACGAAAAATAATAATAATAATAATGATAATAATGATAAGCACGGTATCGTGTGGCGGCAGCTACACAATATTACATTGAGTATTACACTAATGATTATTATTACTACACTACTTTTATTATATTTTCCCTATTTTATTTTAACTTAATAAATGTACTTAATTATATTTTTTTTTTTCAAATAGATGAACGTGCGAAAGAAAATCTTATTAACTTATCAACAAATGATTTTATGAGTTTGCAGGAAAATTCTGATGAAATTGTTGATTATAACAATGATATTTTTATTATCCTAAGATTTTCACCTATATTATTTTAGATGATTTCAATGACTTTTACTAACTTATTGTTTGTTTCTGATAGCTTATTCTATGGAGGTAAATAGTAATAATTTAGACATTCACAATAATTTTAATATTAATAATGACTATACAAATATATATTCGAACATCGAACAACCGAATACGAACATAGGCAGTCCACCTATTGTAATTTCCATTCCTGCACATAAAAGTCGCCAAGTAAATATTTTTAAATATTCTATCTTCTATGTTTAACTATTTTAATGTTTGTATTATAGATGGAGATGAGTACAGTTAATGGCTGTTATGATTTAGTTGATGACGGCAATGGTTTAATAAATAATCAGACAATTGAAAATAACATAAATCTATCAGATAATCAAAACTGTATATTGTAATCAGTAACATTTTTTTTAAAAATGTTTTATGTCTTAGCTGAAAAAAAACATATATTTCTGTGCTGAAATTGAAAAATTAAAAAAAATAATTAAAAGTAAAGATAAACAAATTTTAACACAAATAATAATAAATAATACAAACCAGATAAAAGTATGTACTGTTTTGGAAAACATGGACAAATATATAAATAAATTATTGGAAAGCAATAAAAGAACTCATTCATTCCAACTCATTCGACTACCCAAGATCCTAGTACCATTCATTGAACTACTACCAATAACAACTATAAATAGTTTAGAAGTAGTCGAACAACTGCTGATAATTTTAACCGTAATGTAGAAAATTGGTAAGTTAAATCATATTGCTTTTCATATTTCATTATTTTTATGATAACTTAAAACAAAACAAATATCAAATAGTATACCTTCTTAACATCAAATGTTTAATAGAATATTTGACTAGGTACTGATATAGTAATATACAAATGTATAGGTACAGTTTTGTATTCTACTAAGTATTAATAAATTAAGTAAACAATTACTTGAACTTCCTATAAATACAGTTTTCTTCTATTTCAAACCAGACTAATTATAATTAACTATAGTTAATCTATCACATATAGTTATATATATTGAGTATTTATATTTACATTAATTTGTTATATAGGCCGACAAAAATATTTACTTCAAGTATACCCCCAACTTATTCATTTCTTTATTTAATTTGCTTTGCATTAGAAAACTTATTTATTATTGAAAGTGGGTAATCTACCAAGCTTAAGTGCGACAATCAAAACAGCTTTTGATATATGCTTTAGCAGAGAGATCGCATTAATTTTTAGCATGCATGGAAAAACTAAGAGATCGTTTGTAAAACTGGCTGTCTACAAAGTGATACATGGTAATAAATTTAAATTTAAATTATTATAAAACCCTATAATATGGAAAATATAAAATTAATTTTTCTCAATCATACACTACAAAATAACAAGAGATTACACTTTTGAAAATATATTACGCTTTCTGCATGTATTAATAATATAATATAATAAATTCAATGATATTTAGTAAATATATATTATGATAAATTATGTAGTTGTAATAGTTTATGATTTTGGGACATTATGATAAATAGTATATGTTTGTAATATTTACAAGATGATTCACCAAGCAGAGCCCAACTTAGGAATTTTGGGGCCCGGGTCAAATTTTCTAATGTGGCCCCAAAATTAATTATTATCTAAATTTTAAATTATCTACTTAAATTATGAATGTAGTCTTTATGCTATATAGATTTGTTATATCTTATATTCAATTTATTTTATAAGATTATAAATCAACTAGCTCTAAGTGTAACTCGGGCCCGTCGGACTCGCTGGGAGTGGGTACCGATTTTGGAGACAATGAATTATAAAAGTCGCAAAGGTTCTAAGACGAAAGTTTAGGATTTGTTATAAGGATTAGTGATATGGATTGGAGATAATTCTAGACGCTTTGGCGGGAATGTTAAAAGTTTGAGCGTCTAGCAATCCGTCACAAACATTGTAAATGGATAGGCTGGATACGATCTCCAAGATCACCGATATAGAGTATACCTGCACATAGAGTGGTATGTGCCGTAGCATGACCGGTGCTTTATCTTATGTAAAAAGTGTAAAGTCGAAAACCGTGTTGGAGTTTCTAGTAAGTCAGTCATCTCAAGTTAAAATCTATTAACTTTCAAGTTAGCCACTTAGGTAGGCAATCCGACTTCGTCGGATCGCGGACAATGTGCTACAGCAAAGCAGGTAGGGAATCCACCTGCGGTGGATTGCAGACCCGACGTCAAGCGGCTATAAGTGAAAACCCTATCACACAACTTACGAAATAATTTACGAAAAATTCAAACTATATACAATATACATACAAACAAATATTATATGTATTTATTCTGTGATATAATATAACAATGAACATTCTGAGAAATGTGCTATTATAATTCCTAAAAAAAATTAACATATAGGTAGATAGTTAGATACACACTATTATATTAACCAATTCAATACATATAAACATGTACCTATAGTGTATATATATTAATTTTTAAAAAAAATGCAAAAACCTGCATGTTAAAGTGTCTATCAAGTCAATAATCACCGTTTGGTGAAACTAAAATGAGCAATCCGTCTATCACCTACATGTAGTAGGTATATCACATAGAGTGGTATGTGCCTTCGCATGTCCGGTGCCTTTTCTTATGTAAAAAGTGTAAAGTCGAAAACCGTGTTGGAGTGTCTAGCAAGTCAGTCATCTCAAGTCAAAATCAAGATTAACTTTCAAGTTAGCCACCTAGGTAGGCAATCCGAAATAAAATACAAACTATATTTATATAACAATCATGGAAATTTTAAAAAATATTCAATTATAATAATTCCTAATAAAACAAATATAACATGTACCTATTTATTGTGTGATATAATATGACAATGACTTTAAATAATAATAATGTACGATAATATGTTCCTGTATTATTATAATATTATTATTTAATTTATATGAAAAATATAGTGAAAAAAAAATGCAAAAAAAGTCGGGTATCGGGCGGCCGTGTAAACCATATGGCAATGACGGTTTCGACGCCCGGACGGCGTACAACGGATTCGAACCCGGGACCTACGTGTTTCCAACCTAACGCCTAACCTACTCGGACACAATTTGAAATGTGTGGTCAAAACATCAACACTTAAGCCGTGCGTCTACGGAGTGACGTAAACCGATATATTCGATGTACATCGATGTAATCGCATATAATTCGCTTGTAATACTCCATCTCCATATATATATTTAACGGGGCGTGTGAAAAGCGTTTTCCGTTAATAATTATTAAATCATAGGGAAAAATTAAATATAGTACGGTCGGTCGGTCGCCGGCGTAATTCCTAAACGCAATTGCGAGGCGAACGAACCGATTTCGGGGAAAAGTGCATATAAACGGCTTTAAAAATACTTCGACTACACGATTCGGGCACAAACGGCGTGCGAATAGACGAAACGGTGGGAGAAAAGGAAAAAATCGGCAAAAAAGTCCGGTCGGGAGTGTATTTTTCGGTCGACATTGCACGAATATAAGCCACACACCGGTGGCTTCGAATTAAGTATATAAAAGAGCGAAAAGGTCGAAATCGTGTAAAAACAGCAAATTTTCCGAAAATCGGCGAAATAATAGGAAAAGAGGAAAACGTTTTATAACCTACCGCCGCCGCTGCGAAGGTACCTACTCGATTGGTCGCGCTATAAGGAATCGACGGGACATGGTCGGCGGGCTGGGGAAACGGAGCGGTGCTTCATTTTTTACGCCACGGTTTCACTATAGCCTGCGTTTTCCTTTCCACGAGTTGCTTGTAGACAGCTGATTTCCTTGTCATTTTATAGTATAGGATTATACCATAATAAGGCTATAAGTAACTATTTAATTACAATTAATATAAATAAAACGATGAAATAAAAAATATAAATATAAATAAAGAAGTTTTGGTACAGTTTTTAATTCAAACAAATGTTTACTGATATACTTCATATACATTGTGTACAAAGTCAAAGTGGCAATGCATTTTTCAACATAGTCAATGTAAATAATAAAAAAATAAACAAAAATAATAATTAAAGAAATAATTTGTTAAATAATTTAAGACAACGGTTTTTTTTCTAGATTTTAGTTCACTAAATTTTTGAATTAGATCTGAAAAATCAAGTGTATTAGTTATATCCCTTTCAGCAGATAGACGAACGAGTGAGTTTAATTTTTCTTGGTAAAGGGGCGTTCTTCTGGCGTTTTCAATTAGCTCTAATTTTGAATTTGTTCTTTCTGCTTCACAATTCGAAACTGGCAAAGTTAAATAAAGTCGTAGAGAAATGTACACATTTGGAAAGACTTCTTTTAAATTATTTTCATGTACATATAAGTAAATTTTGAGGAGAAATTATTGGTAAATTTAACTGCATTACATAATTAGAAAAGTACTTTTTTTCACTCAACATTTGTTCCGTCATAGTTTTGTCTATACGATTTTTAGTGTTTACACGATCTAACCAAGTTAACATGGATTTACGATGAATTGCACTATTTTCGTGTTCTTTAACTTTTTCGTGAGATTTTTTCCAGTCGTTAAAACCAGGATTAATTAAACTTGAATTATTTGACTTATTAAATAGCTTACAAACAAAACAATAAACGTTGCCAGTGTGTTCAGAAAACATGAGCCATTTACGTAAATGTATTTCACTATTGGGCAATTTTAATTCGAATAATGATAAATTTAATGAGCGATTAAAATTTTTAATTTTTTTTTTCGGATGTTTGAAATTTTTTTGGATCCATATTCTGAAAAAATTCTAGTCCTTTTAAGCAGTATAACACTAATGGCCACATTCCCGGATCTTGATATAATTCAATATCAAGTTCAATAGTATGAACATTCGAATTAAAATTAATTGCAATCACTGCATTTTCTGCTGTAGAACCATTGTCAACATTATTTTCAGAAAAATTAAAAGTATCAGATTTTGAGCTTTCTATTGTAGAACAACTGTTAATATTACTTTCAGAAAAATGTATACTATCATATTTTGAAGTCACTATTGTATTAAGAATTACACTATTACTATCATTACTATCATTATTCATGTTTTCAATATGAATATAACTATTATTTAGAACTAAATCATTTTTATTATTTTTATTAGTTTCTACTCCGTTTTCACTGTTGATAGTTAGAAAATTAGTTAATTTAGGTAACTTGCTTACTGCATCTTCGGACTCCTTCTTTAATTTTCGTTTTGCATAATCACTGAGATAAATCCTTTTTTTATCAGACATTTTTAAATTTCAATAGTTTTTGGCACACACTAGTAACGAACAAAACTCACGAACTCGACTAAAAACTAATTTAATATCACGACAGTCGACGGAATACTAGTGACTAGTGTACCGATTGTACTAATAATGCGAAACTGACCATCAAAATGTACCTATGTTAAGATAAATTGTAATCATAATGATATACAGTGCTTTTGACCAACTTTATCTTAAACCTTAATAGCTTATTTTATGGATTAGAGAATAATCATAAATTCGGAAATTTCATTACGATACGTGACTAACAAAACTACGTAACCAGTAATATCATACAATTATTTCAAAATGCCACTTTCATAATTAAATATCAACAGGGGCCCGGGACTGCAGCCCCCCTACCCCCCCCCCCTAAGTTGGGCTCTGTCACCAAGCATGCTTATACCCATATTTTTTCTTTAATAGTAAAATTATTCAAATTCTGATTTTTTTGTTTTGTACTACTTAAAGTATACTTAGGCGATACAAACTTCTGTTTTAATAATATGCCATTACTTATGGACTTTTTATCTTTAGAACACTAAGATAAATTACCCAAAAACAATTATTAAGAATTTTGATCCTGATACATCAAATTTTTCTGAAAAATTATCCACTGAATAATTTACAGTTGAAAAGGAGGCTTTTCATTGAAAACCGAAGTTGTATCTCAACAGGACACTCTTTTTAAGTTGTACAAACAAATCTCAAGAATTCGAAATAATGGTCTTCAAGTATATTTAAGAGTTCCAAAAATCAGAGAGTAAATAATTGGATTATTGAATGTAAAAAAGTGTGTTGGCATGCTTGGTGAATCACTCTGTATATTGATTGAATAATTATACTATCATTTTTAGAAACATTATCTGGTCACATTCACAGTGCTGATGAAGAGAAAGTATTTACTGGCATAATCGCCAATATTTTGAAACATGTGAGAAATCATTTTAAAAACAATCCAACTCTTTAACAAATACTCTTATCTATTAGATGCTATTTTAGTTTATAGTAATTAGTTTGAAAAAAACAGTATTATAATGTTATTATTATTATTTTTTTTTTTTCATTTTTTTATACTTACACTAAGTATATAGTTAGGACAAATATCATATTTATTATATAATATAAAAGAACATTTTATATATTGTATTAGTACTACAATTTTCATTAATAAAAAGTTTATTACCTATTTTACTCTATGAATATTTTTGTCATATTTAATCTATACAATAGGTAATATAATATATTTTAATGTAAGTGTATAATGTAGTAGGTATATAATAAATAAATGGTTTGTAAAAAGGACATTTATTGGCAGTGGCGAAACAAACTTGATATTTTTCTCAGGCTTGTTTAATATAATTTCACCCACACAGCAGCACCAATAATCTGATAAAGGCATTCACTGTAATATTAATTGTAACTACCAGTCGTTATTATTAAAATAGATAATATAAAATAGCTAATATTCTACTATATAGTTTATAATAATTATTATCACTTATATTGACCATTATCCACCCACTGTCCACACAACCCCTTTTAAACTCAAGGATGGCCGCCTCACGGTTTGGTTAGAGCAATTGAATATTATATATAGGTCTATAAACTTAAAAAAATTATAAATTTAAAAATCAGGTGTTACACATTGATTTTGATTGGAAAGTTGTAAGTAAATAAGTGTTGAGCACTAAAAAATATAAAGAAAATAATTTTCGCCATTTTGGAAGGCAGGGGTGGTGATATTGATATAAGCATATAATAATATAAAATCGGTTCCAAAACTGACACAGCACCAAAAATTAACGTTCATTTTTAAATTTGTGCACGGTTAATAAACTATCAACTGAACCATTAATGAACGGTTCAAAACTGCACCAAAGAACCGTAAATGAACATTTTTTGCACCTTGATTAAACTCGGTTCACATCATGTTAAAAACCGTATTCAAATCTCTCAACGGTCGGGGCAAGGAACCAAACTTGAACTGCAACTTCCGCACCCCAAATTTATACTTGGAAATGAACCTTCTATGAACCTCAATTGCTACTCGGGTAAGATTAAATGTATACTCGTGACGTCGTCTAGTGTTTATTGTTGGTTGCCTATATAAATTATACATTGCCCCTTAAAATATGCACAGTCTTATTATTGAGTATACTCAATATATTATACTTCTTATTTCTTATACTATGGTCAGTGTTGGGATTATCTAGATACATTTTTAAATTATCTTTATCTTATCTAGATAAATATAAATAAACTGTTGACAACTATCTTAAGAAATTATCTTAGATAAACAATTTAGGTACGTATCTAGATATTTAGATAAATTATTCGAGGACATACTTTTTGGTTTTAATTACAATTGAATTTTTAAAATTTTTATTCGTTATTATTTAATATTAATATATTGCTAATGGTATAAAAATATTACTATCGGCTAATTTAACAATAATGATGGGTTTATCGTTTATTTGTGTTTATTTCAGTATTATTATCTGAGTACTATTAATAAATATCATAAATCGGTACCAATTTCACATACATTAACACAGTAACATACGTTACGGTTATATTGATTGGTGACAGGCGACAGCACTCTTTCCCCCTATCCATCGTGTAATTTTAAGGGCCAGTTGTACCGTCTATGATTATAGTTAATCAGAGTTTAATTGACCGAATTTTCCCGTTTAAATATCTGTTATCAGCTGATTAAGCTTAATCATAGTTTAATCATAGACGGTACAATGAACAGAATGAACGAATGGTTGAGATAAAATAATATTATGTTAAATTATTTTATATATTTTTGTTCATACTACAAACACAGAAACAAGACCAAATTTCTAACGTTTACGAATGTTGTGGCAGCTGGAAGTTTGAAGGTACTTTAAGTTGGTAGTACTCCTTACAATATACATTTTAATTTCTATTATTATGAAATGTCTAGATTTATAATTATTTTTGGTTATTTGTTATTATTATTTGTTTATTGTTGCGCTTAGTAATGAGTACCTAATGACTGCTGTAAACTAGGTAGAGTCTGTGATTGCTTTTTGAATTAGTTTATTTAACATTTATTCAAAAAATGGATAAATCTATATATATAAAAATGAATGTATGTGTGTGTGTGTGTCTCCATATTACCATGGCAACCATATCTGTATATATAAAACAGTAAGCTGATTGACTGCTATCATCGCAAAGCTCAAACCATTGGACGGATCTGGCTGAAATTTAGCATACAGATAGCTATTATGATGTAGACGTGCGCTAAGAACGGATTTGCCAAAATTCGCATTTTAAATAGGTGCTGAAACAGGGACATTGAGATTCACGATAGAAATTGGAAATTTTATTTTTATTTATTTATAGTTGCCATTGGTTACAGTCTACATTAGAAATTAGCATTTATTTATTGGTTGCCATTGGTTATTCGGGCAGATCAGGTACAAGCTTGCATCAAATCGATTTATTGAACATTGCCTACCAGGGTGGCTGAGTTGCACTTACCGCAGCAAGTTACACCCAAAAGGAGTTCAACAATCATAATTTTTTTAAGAGTTGCGATTTTTTACGAGCAACCAAATTTTTTATATTAATCCAAAGTATTATATCAAAATAAGCTTGGTATAACTTTGATACTTTAGAGTTAAATCATACACTTCCGTACAAACAGCACGGGGTCCGCGATCTACCGCAGGTAGATTGCCTACCTGATAATGTACTGCTGCGATTCAGAATTTTTATTCCGGGCAACGGAAAAGATAAGATAAATTTTGAACACCATACACCGAATATTGAATAGTGAATTGAACAAAGTTTGAGTAATATTGAGTTGATACATTTAACGGGCGACGAAGTGCACGGGATCAGCTAGTATATTATAAAGAAGGCAAGTTCAAGTAAACGGACAATTCAGGAGGTAGATGATGGTACTGCAGATGACATGGTTTCCCATCAAAATATGGAAACATCCTCGGAAACGACGGAAACATCAGAGCATACGTCACAAGAATCAGTAGAAACTTTACAAAAATCGTATTTATTTAATGGGCAATTATTTTCTATTGTACATTGTGACGGAATTAAGTTAGTAGCACAATGTAAAAACTGCTCAAAAGTAATTCATGGTCATAAAATGTCAACCGGAAATTTCCTAAGCCACTTAAAAGTAATTATTAATACCTTGATTGATACACATAAATATAATATAGAAAGCTTTAATAATTTTAAATGCTATGGTTAGGTTAGGTTAAGGTTAGGTTATAAATGTATACATTATATTTATCTATAGAATAAAAATAAGGTATTATTACACCAAGTACAAGAGGCTCGAAGCAATGCAAAACTATCAAATAAAACAAATGTACTTAGTCGACCAACCAAAAAACTTACAAAACACAGGTGTCTATAAATTATTCATTTATAACTTAATTCAAGGATTTAAAAGTTATTTAACTCATCAAATCATATTTAAGAGACATAAAAATTGTATTTGAAACAATAAACTTGTAAGAAACAGAATTAAACTATTTCAATACAGTTAATTGTACTCAATTATTAATTGGGTACAATCTTGTAAGTTGACAAATACAAAATTAAAAGTTAATGTATTATTTGGTAAATATTCTTTTTAGTAAGTTATTATTTTACAGTGAATACAAGACCTTAAGCATTTATTTATTTATATATTACTATTTAATGATTATACTATACTCCGGCCCACGAGAGAGTATTACCGTTATGCGCATGCAGACTGACGGTGGAGATCGTTCCGAGGCCCCATTTCCCCCACTATTTCCGCGACCGCTATACACCGTATAGCGTTGAGCGCTGCCGACCGATACCGAACAGTTGTCGACACATGCCGAGTAGTGTGGAATGCGCGGAATCGGACGAGTTTTCGTCGGGCGACGGTAATACTCTCTCGTGGGCCGGAGTATAGTTATAACTATTATTATAGTTTATTCACAGATTAA